AATGGAAAAACAGGCATTGCAATTAATTCCATATGGGAAGGAAAGATACCATTTTACTGAGAGCACATTAACAATCTCTACTAGTAGTTTTAATAACTGATACCCAGTTTTGGGGAAACAAATTCAATGAAACCAAAAATTATATGCAAAAATTATGGTGTATCTTTCTTGTATGGAAAACCATGGTTAGCTTTCATCAGAATCTTTAAAAAAAATCTTAAAACCACATCACAAGGTAGTTTCATGAATCAGAGGTAGAAAACAGAGTTCAGTTCACCCACCCCATGGTGAATTACTAAGAGACTAAAAAGTGCTTAAAACTGGGTAGAACAGAAAGGGAAATGCCAAACCCATACCTTCCTCTCTTTCTGGTGCTGGGTTCAAAAGAAAGTAGGGTTTCTATCTTGAGGGCAATTTTTGAGATGAAGGGGACAGGCTATTAAAATGAGTCATTTCGGTCTATAGCTGTCTTGTAGCCCAATGACCTTTTATTCCTATCTGCACTGAACTCAGCTCTGTAACAGACACAATGGCTGGAAGCAATGAGTGATGGAGTTGCAATCAAAGTGGCCCAATATCTGCTCTGGCTTACTGCCACCATCCCTGAACTAAATCTATAGGCAGCTCCTCCTTCCCTCTATCCCCAACATCTGCTGCCAACAGAGGATCACTTATGTCCTCTTCCTAAGAACCAATCACAGATTCAGACACAGCCTTGCCACATGCACAGCAGAATTCTAAGTGACATCATTCACCCTGTGGTCTAAAACAGTAAACATCTAAAGAGTTGAGTACATCTACACACTGCAGCTCAATTGTCTTCTTGGGTCCACTTTTGCTCTGACAACTGGGCTGATCCAAGTTACCAAGACTAGTTCGCACTTTATTTCTCACTTTTATGAGCTAAGCCCCTTTTTGATAAGCTTCTTAATGCCCCTAAATGCTCTGTGATTAGGAAAATGCTGGGCCTTGCCAACTTAGATCTCCAAAAGCAAAATCTCACTTTGAACCTATGCACAGAACCGAGAACGTCCTCCCTCTGAGAAGCCTGCTGGTGACACCCACCTTCCACCTACTTCCATGCCTGATCACTACCAGACTGTGGGCCCTTAGTCACCATGATCCATCTGCCAAGATTGCCAAGTTCCCTGAGGCAGTATTCCCTGGTAAGAGTCAGCCTTCCCTGGATGCCTGTAAACATAGCCTCTACCTCTGGGGCTCTGGTTCATGCTGCTCATAAATCACACACCCGAGTAATCTTGCTGCAGCACCTGGTACCTCCCTGTCAGCCATCTAGCTTGTTGGACCAAGGATCTCAGGGACATAATTGACCTTCGGAGACTGCTTCCTCATGTATAAAGTGGAGATGAGTTCAGAGACTGCCCCAAATTAAGCGATATGCTGCCTGCTAAGCTGCTCAGCACTGTGCCTGGAGCATCTGTGTCCAATAAATGGCTCTGCTTCTTATTAAAAGCAAAGACTAATATAATAGGAGAGATCACAAGGTACAAAGTTTACATGATAAAGGTGACATGTAAGTTAAATGACCAATACCCAACTCTGTCTACAGAGTTGTTTTCTGTGCCTAGGGCTGCTCTGGTACTATGGTTAGTTAGAGTTCTTTCTGGCAGATGTACTTGAGTATAACTTAGGAAGCAGGCCAGAACTCCATTTTGGCATGCTGGGTAAAACTTCAGCACCAAAGTACACAAAAAGTCAAATTCCTTCTCCCTTTACACGAAACATTAGTGACTTGGGACAAATGACTGACATAACAAACTGCCAGTCCCAATTCTTCAGGTGCAGGTATTTGGCAGACTTTTTTTCCTTTCTCTTCAACAATGAATGAATGAAGAGATAATATTGAAGGAAAATCATGCCAGCATTTTTTTCTTTTTTTGCAGATGGTAAACTTTGAGTTTTCAAAATAAAACTTAGAATTTCAGAAAATTTATACCTCCATGAGCTCAACAACCTTCCGTACTTAGTGAGTGACATTGCTAATGAGCAGTGATGACTTAATGAATGTGCCTTCTTAAGCATTATGTAATAAAATGTGTCAACATTTGGAAGACATGCATATCTCAGTAATACCAGTATTTTCTAAATAATTGATGCAGGCAGTTATGAAACCACCCATGGGTAAAAAGTTCCTATTCAAAGTGCAGAAGGGGGTCCCGTGGAGATAGCTCAGAATAAGTACTTCCCCAACAAGTGCAAGGGCTTGAGTTTAATCCCTAGTTCCGCCAAGAAAAAAAAAAAAAAAAGACTATCAAAGTGCAGAAGGGGCCCCTGGATTTAATGCAAGAGTATGAAAGTTTATTTCTACAATTAATTTTTTTTCTTTATTTATTTGGTATAGAGTCTTACTAAGCAGTTCAGACCCCTAGTGATCCTCCTGTCTCAGCCTCCCAAGCACTGGATTACAGGCATGCGCTGCCACGCCCAGTTTCAGGGCCTGCTCACAGTACACCCGAAACTGAACATGGCATGTGGTGCAGGGATCAAACTCAGATCCTTGCTCTTGTCAGGAAAGCACTTAGACTGCTGAGCTATCTCCCCATCCCTGAAAGTTTATTTATTTATTTATTTATTTATTTATTTATTTATTGTGTGTGTGTATTCTAAGAATGGGCTCCATTTGGGAACTGTTCTCTTTTTTTTCCATAATTTTATTGAGAAACAAATAGCAATAAGACAGTTTCAAATCAAATTGGTAGGACAGTTTCAATAATTAACACATTGCATACATTCTTCCTAGTGGTTAATTACTGTACAAGATGTGGAACTTGATATCCTATTTACATACACCATTAGAACAAATCCCTCTATTCATTAAGAGAATGTAATTATATATCTATCCTAACCACTTTGAATACACAGATACAAAATGGACATTCATCTGTATCCCCTTTTTTAAGTTCCATCATTTAAATATTATAGGTGTGTAAACGCAGCAAAATATTCTAAAAGAGTTCAGTAGTCCATAATAGTATTGGGTCTTCCACTTCCCTAAGCCCTGAAAGTTTATTAATATGGCTTCAAACTACATTTCACCTAAACATTAATAAATTACTATTTGTCAAGTTTTAATATGAAAAAAAGTTTTAATATGGAATTGAAGAATATTCACAATTAACTAAAAAAATTAACATATGCCTCTTTTCTTCAAATAATATTTGTCTGAGGCCAGATTTTCATATCCTTCAATCCAAACAGCAAATGGCTAATGAAATACAAAACAGATAAGAAAATCCTTTTGGGGTCGGGGAGATGGCTCAGTGGAATAAGCGCTTCCCTGGCAAGTGCAAGGGCCTGAGTTCAATCCCGGGTTCTGCAAAAAAAAAAAAAAAAAAAAAAAAAATCCTTTTGTCTTCTATTATGCAGCCATCAGAGATTTATAGAAAACATTAAAAATATTACTCTTCTTGAGCCAGGAAGATAGCTCAGTAAAAATATTACTCTTCTCTCTCTTTTATAGAAATATATAGTTATTTTTCAAAAAACGTATCTTGCTAACATGAGTTTATAACACTACGTGCAATGAGCTAATGTTTATTTCCTATATATTTTTTTCATGTGTATATTCATCAATACTTTTTTAAATCTATAACCTCTTCTTCCTTCTCACTGAGCTTGAATTAGGCGCTAGCAACAGATCTGACCCTTCACTCATTTACTTATTTAGAGTGATGTTAGAGTCCTGTATATCACAGATGGAAAAGGAGGATGAAAGTGAGGAGAGACTTCTGGAAAGCATGCATGTACTCACACAGATAATGCAATGTCTTTTGGTCCTCTTCTCTTGAGCTCTTAGCCAGTACTGTCACTGCTCAACAGGTATTTACTCAGAATCACTGTTGTGTCAAGCATCATCTAGCCAGAGGTCAGGACAGCCAGTCCCTTTGGCTGTCACCCCACAGGAACCCCACAGGAATCTTTGCTCTCAGCAACTCCTACCCATGCTGCCACAGAGGTACAGGCCAAACATCCCAGCACTAGCCTCACCTCTCCCCTCTCTCTTCCCCAACTCTCTGATGCATCTCTGGGCTCCACCTTGTCCTCCACCTTGTAGCAGTTGTGCCAGTGAATAACTAGCTTTCCACCATAGCCCCATTGGCCCCGCACCTCCTCAGCCATCTCTGGCAGGAGGCACTGAAGGTTGGAATGAGTGCAGCCTACAGGTAACTAAGCTGTCCAACACACCTGCTAGGCTCAGGCAGAGGGTGGTAGAGACAAGGAGCTGCTGCCCAAGAGACAGGAAGGAGGCTCAACTCCCTGTGGAAGGCAAGATTGCAGGGGAGTGAGGAAGAAGGAGGGCTGGGAATCCCCAGACGTTGCAGTCGGGAAGCCCCTATGAAAGCCAACACACTACGCATGAGTTCTGGCGCCAGAGACCCCACATCCTCACTACTGGGAAGCAATGAACTCTGTGGACTGCCTGGCAGGATGGGCTAGGGACTTGGCCCCAGATGGCCACGCCCTGCTTGGAAATCTGCCTTGCCAGCTCCTCTGACTCTCATACAGTTGGGAGAGCTCCAGAGCTATGGGTGGAGGGAGAAACTCCCGATAAGTGAACCTCAGAGCCCTCACAATGGCTTTCTCTGTGCAGCTGGCCCTGCACCTGGCACAGCACAGGGCCCTCTGTGCTTCTGTCCTTCCGCACACAGAGATGTCCACACACAGACGGACTTATAAATACCCTCCCAAGCAGAAGTGAAATCACTGACCAGTTCTCCTTTTCTCTGCTTAGCTAGAGCCCAGTGGCTGAGAGCAAACGCACACTCTCCAGTACAGTGGCTCGACCTGCTTTTGCTCTTTTATGCTTGGGAAGCTTTTGGCAAACATCCTGTTTAGAATAAAATGGGACTCACACTGATTCTTGGGGGCTAAATTTACGATCCTGTAACTTCAAGCAAAAGGACAGACAAAGCTGGGCAAAGGGCAAAGCCTATTAGTACACCATTCACATAGATGCCCATTCACAGCGAGCATTTTACCTGCACATAGAAGGTCCTGGAGCTGGTTATTATTTCAAACAGGTTGTCCCTCATTAAGAGATCACTAGACAGAGAAAAAGAAAGAAAGTTACTGGGCATGCTGACAGATATCTTGGGGACTCACTTACTCTATGTCTAAGCACTGGTATGCCCTCCAAGAGGAGGATGGAAGTGTCCAAGCCACTGCTCCTGCAGCCCATGCTTTAAAAAACAAAAAAACAAAAAACAAAAAACAAAAAAAAAACCTACTACTGGGCTTCTTCCAGCTCATTCTACCACCTCCACCAACCCACCTCTAACACAATAAAGCTCCCTTCCCCTCCAGATCTTCCTGTCTGGTGTCCACCACTGCCCTACAGTTTTCCTTGCTTGCTTGCTTCCTTCCTTCCTTCCGTGCTTCCTTCCCTCCCTCCCTCCTTCCTTCCTTCCTTCCTTCCTTCCTTCCTTCCTTCCTTCCTTCCTTCTCTCCTTCCTTCCATTTTTTCTACTTTGTCTCTCGGTAGCACAGCTGTATACAGTATAGTGCTATGCACTGGTTTGAGGCTTTTTTATATATGATTTCATCCAATCCTCACAATCACCTAGTAAGATGCCATAAAATTCTCTGCATTTATGGAAGAGGAAACCCAGGTTCAGGGAGTTGAAGTGATATGTGTACATGATGCTGCAGATCTGAACACAGAGCTGGTTCCAAGATCGAAGTATCAAATGATTCCACTACCATTTGCCTCTCCCAAGAGCACCAACTCCCCCTTCCCAAAATCTTTCTTCACACAAACAGCAACTCCATCTACCTCCCTCCAGTCCTGCAGTTGGCCTCACTGCTCTGGGCCTAGGAGACAGGGAGCTCAAGAGAGAAAGAAGGTGAGAGTAGGCTATGCTAAACTGGGTGTAGGGTTTAGAAGAGAAACCCCAACTTCTGTAAAGAGGAGGACAAGATAGATGTAGCCAGTGTTCAGGGACAAACCTCAAGTCAGCCAAAATGGTTCACAGTGTTAAATGCCTGCTGTGTATATCCAGCCACTGCAGGAAACACAGAAGGTAATTCCTACCCTAGAAGGAACTCAAGAAAGCAAGACTGCACAATCACATGTTAAGCTATGTGTTGTGTTCCAAGTCATGTCAAGAAAAGAGCAATCAAAACAGGGTTGGTTGGCCCTGATGAATAAAGAGGGAAATGGAAAGAAATGGCAGGGGCTCAGCCAGTGACACGTAGGCACTGGATTCAGGAAAAAATGAAGCTAAAGACAAGATGAGGGTCACAGAGACATGGAGTTAAACGGTGCCTCCAAGAAAGAGGTGCTGGGTTATGTTTTAAAGACACTATGAGCTTTTCTAAACCAAGTATAAACAGGAATAGGAAGAGTTTTTCAGCTGGTCACCACAAAAATCAACCATAAGGTTGTTTTGTTTTGTTTTGTTTTGTTTTGTTTTGTTTTGTTTTGTTTTGTTTTGGCAGAACCAGGGGTTGAACTCAGACCCTTACACTTGCCAGGGAAGCACTTATTCTACTGAACCATCTCCCCAGCCCCAGAGCCAACTATAAGGTTTAAATCTAGATGTCCTCCCAAAGCCTCCTGTGCTCAGAGGTGGGGCTCTGGGGGGAGGGTGGACCATGGGAGCTCCACGCATATAGGCAAGTCAGTCCACTCTTGAGTTGAGCACTGATTTGCCCTTAGGAGATGGGATCTGGTCAGAAGAGGTGGGTCCCTGGAGTGCGACCTGGAAGGCTTTTATTCTTCCTCGCTCCTCTTTTCCTCCATGCTTCAGTGAGGTGTGCCATGAGCAGCTTCTCACCTTCCAAGAGCTACCCTGCCTTGGAGCCAGCTGACTACAGACTGAAACCTTCACAAACCATGAGCCAAGAAAGCCTTTCCTCCTTCAACTTGTGGGTGTCTGGTATTGGGTCTCAGCTATGAGGAAGTGACTAGCAGTACAAAGACATGGGACATCATGTGTGTCACTTGCAACAGAGTACACCAACTTACTGATGCTGGTATCTCTAGATAGAGATCACATTATTTTTGGCTAGCTGTTTTGATCTTTTAGATCATTCATGCATGTGATTCATGACCACGTGATCAACTGCTGAGGAGCTGAACAAAAAGCAGGTAGGAAATCCCCACCCCTTTGATCTCTACTTCTCAGGCTTTGAGTCACTGTCAATCAATTCAATTTAACTGAGCAAATGCTTGCTGATTACCCTGATATCCTGAATCCCCCTGACAAGGGTCCAAAGAGGCCACACAGCCTAAAGGCCTGGAAGCTACAGAGCCCTGGGAATTTTTACCCTGCTACTTTCAACTCTGTGATTTCTTTTAACCAGTGTGTAGTGTGACTCTGGAAAAATGCAAGATTTAGGGCAAGTTCAAAGTACTGTCATAGGACTGTGTTCTATCTCAACAGGCCAGGTAGTCTCATGTCTACATTGGTGTTTTAGATTTGGAAACAATTAGAGATCTCAAGGACCTGGTCATGTCCAAATGTTCTTGGGGGCCTATAAAGTTTAATTATAGCATCATCTATGTTGGGGATTGAACATGATATTTTCCCTTGCCAAGGTCTGATGCACTACCCTGTGTGCCATTGTGGAAGGCAACCATTTCCTAATGGAAAGAGGAACACATTAAAAATACTTATGCTTCCTGTCCAATGGTAGTAACAGATATATTGCAAATCAGCCTGTGCTAATGAGACATCAAGGTCAAACAGAGGACAGAAAAGGCAAAGGAGTTCACACAAGAGACACCAGAAGCAGTGACCTGGCCAGAAGTGCTGAAGTTACAACCAAAGACACGGCCCTTCCTCCTGCAGACTAATTCTAACACCTGAAAAGCTCCACTCTCTTCATTACTTATTTAAAGTAATGAAAAGTATTCTAAAGGCTCATCTCCTGAGGAGCAAGGTAACAGGAAGATGATAAATCTGCCTGGTGTGACTTCACCCAAAAGTCAGCTTGGAGGCAATGTGGCAGCCATAGGACAGTAGGTTCCTGTTCCCTTCTGGAGGAAGAACACAGGTAAGATATGCTGAGCCATGTAGTTCATGAAAATTTAAGCAGACAAATGAAGATTTTGATAAGAAAAGAACACACAGAGATAATTACCCAGACTTGACCAGACACTCATGGGTCTTGAGGACATCCTTGAGAAATATAGTGCGCAGTGGTTCTCGGTCCTGGAGGGAAAAGTGGACAGGTAAGAGAGTGGGCTCAGACAATCCACTGACCAACCTGCTGACCAATGGCCCCTCTTAAAGATGGCTGGCAAAGCCCAGGTTGACAAGCAACCTGGCTTCAAAACAAGCATTAAGGGAAAAGTCTAGGAAGAAAATGTCCTGAGACTGCGATCACATAGCACCTCACTGCACAGAGGATAGGAAGCAGTGAAGGCCATTTTCACATCACTTAAAGAGGTGCACACAGGTGGGCAGATGATGGTGCCCTCAAAGTCTGTGTGTCCTGTGAGTACTCATGTACAGCTTCTCCTCCATGACCCCCAGAAAAGTCCCAACCTCACTACTAACCTGCTCACACTTGAAGTAGCAAATGGTAAAGTCATCGAGTGCAAAGAATCGACGTTTCCAACTCTTGCGCTGACATGAAAAATTAAAGAGCTGAATGTTAGGGAGAGGGCCCCACAATGTAGAGAATATTCTGACACAAAAGGCTCGGGCACCAGGCCCCATGGACATCAGGCTCCCACATTCTGCAGAAGCCAAGGCTTCTCCCCCTCAGGGCAATACCTCTGCCATGCGGGTCTCATGGTTGTTCCCCAAATCCACTGGTTTAGGAAGCAGGCAATGTGGAGGAATGTGGTTCCTCCTCTCATGTTTTCCCCTCTGCTGTGTCCAACCCCACTTGCTCCAAAGAGCCACCAGAACCCACAAGCTGCTAAACTGACACTCACCACATTCCCCTGCTTCACACAGTAGCCACTCTTGATGAGGGGGGGGCCAGTGGAAGTGCGGCAGCCTGATGTGGGGATGTAACTCTGTGACCTTCGCAGGATGGCATGGGACCCCAGCTCACTCCCTTCCTGACCATCCCCACCATTCTACAAGGAAACAGTGTCACAATTAGCACCTGGATCACTCCTCTCTATAGCCACTCTCCCTTCCTGCCCCCTGGCCAAATATCTGAAGATCTGGAAAGATTCAGAAACAAGACAGTCAGGGTGGCACATAAAGTCCCAGCTATGCAGGAGGCTGAGGTGGGAGGATTACAGGTTCAAGGTCAACCTAGGAAATGCATCAAAACCTTGCCCCCAAGTAAAATTTTAAAAGGCTGAGAGTGTAGTTGAGTGGTAAGGTGATTGTCTAGCAAGAGCAAGGCCCTGGGAAGGCAAGAAAGAAGGGCAAGGAGGGAAGGGAAGAAGGGAAAGAAGGAGTAGTAAGATAGGAAGAGAAAAAAAGAAAAGGAAGGAGAAAGATTGACTCTGTTCTTAGTATGGAGTCATGGAGCAATGGGCACTAATATATTCTAGCTTGCATGTACACTGAGTATTAACTGAACCATGAATACCAGAACAAAACCTTTTTGTCAAATTGAGCAACAAATTCCAAGTTTCAAAACAATAAAGACTCAAGTGAAAAGGAAAGACAGACTACAAACCAAAAAGGGCAATGGGGATAGGAAGAGGGGTAAAAGGCTTGTTTCTAGCCTCTTTCCCACCTTGGTCTCACTTCCCAAGTCATCTACTGGGCCTTGTGCGGAAGCCTACAGGCCATAGTTTCAAAATGCAGTGGCCTCAAGTTTTTCACTGCCATTACATCTATCCCTACTGTATCTTGCTGGTCACTTATTCTTGACTAATCCCCTACCCCTCAACTCCTATCTACCTCTCTCTCTCAGTACAGACCCTGTGCACATCACTGGCATACCACTACACTTCGTGTTCTCCCTGTGCCCCAAGTCCAGCCAGGCCCCAGCACCTGGCTGATGGGTGTGTGCACCACCACTCCTCCGATGATTTCTGTCTTGTAGGCCACCTGTGGCTTCTTCTCTAGGGCTGGAGGGACTGATAGGCTTTTGAGAACTTCCGTAGTCAGGGGTAGGCTTCCAGGTTTGGGTACCTAGAAGAAATGGCAGTATGGTCAATCCAGAAGGCTTAGGAAAATTAGGGACCCAAAGGCAGGATGGGGGTTGGAAGAAAAGCTAATGTCCCAAACTACACTAAGAGTTCTCTCTCCTTAGTTTTTTTGGCAGAACTGCGGATTGAACTCAGGTTCTTGTGCTTGCCAAGTAAGCGCTTATTCTGCTGAGCTGTCTCCCTGATGCCTAAGAGTTCTCTCTCCTCCTCAGCTATTTTGGTTTAGATCTAAAATCTCCCTACAAAGGGTCACATTTGGAGGTGGGCTCTGGTCAGAGGGGGTAGGTGACTAGGGCCACAACCTCATGACTTAGAAAGATGTGTCCTTGTTCCAGCTCCTCCTTCTGCCTCTGCTTCCTGGCTGCCATTCAGTGAACAGCTTTGCTTTGCCATGCTGTTTTGCCATACCATTTCTGCCTTGGAGTCTACCAACCAAGGACTCAAATCTCCTGGAGCCATGAGCCAAAATAAACCTCTCTTCTTTTAAGTTGCAGGCATTAAGTATTTTGACCCAGTCATGAAAAAGTAACTAATACACCTGTCCTTCCATCAATCCATATTTGAATATGAGGAACTCAGCCATCAATGCCCCAGGATATGTGTGCTTGGAGACACACACACACACACACACACACACACACACACACACTTATTCCACAAATTCACTGAGCCCCTATACCTTTTCCTGGTCAGAAGTCAAAGATTAAAACATTAAACAAAACAGACAAGAGTGCTCCCTTCAAGGCATTTACACACTAGCAGATGAGACTGACAAAAAAAGAAAAAAAAATGCATCATAGTACAAGCAATCCAAACATCTACAAAAGGTGGGGTCTTCCATGGAAAAGTCAGTGGCACAGTACAGGGAACAGGAGGGGCACTACTAGGAATGGAGTGGTCAGTAGAGGTTTCCAGAGGAACAGACAATGAAACTGCAGGAATGTAAAGACAGGAGTAAGCCCATTGGGTAAGAACAGACAAAATGCTATGGGAGGGCTGAGGGTGGAGCCAAGCATGCGTAAGCCCCTGGGTTCTAGGATCTCCACATGGGCAAGGGTTGCAAGACCATGTGGTATGGGCTTGTGGGTTCTAGGATCCCCACATGGGCAAGGGTTGCAAGACCATGTGGTATGGGCTTGTGTGACAGGCTATACTGAAAATGCAGGCACACTAAAACCATGTTATAAAGCTACCACTAGGGAGTGTACATAGGTTTTAATAAAAGACCAGTGAGCTTACGTTTACACTTGGGCCTCATCTCCAAGGCTTCTCATTATGTACAGTACATGCAAATATTCTTTTAAAAACCCCAAAATTTTAAAACCAAAACACTTCTGGTGCCAAGTATTTCAAATAAGGAATATTCAACTTGTATAATGTATTTCCACTTCCTAAGTCTTAAAAGCAGCTAGTGAAAATCAAGAACCACATCTGACCTATACAGCTGGAAAATAAGTTTGTCCTTTTGGTCATTTCTAAACAGGAGACCTAATCCTCCATCCACCTGCAGAGTGTCCACTGATGAGGTATCTCTGTGGATTTTATCTGCAATGTGGAGTGCAATTTGAAGGGTTTGTCTTGTTTCACATCATGCAGAATTTCTATGCTTTAATTCACTCAATTTTCAACTTTTTTGTGAAATGAAATGAAGTGAATAAACTGTCCACCTCAGAAAGTATTCCTACTTCAAAGTAGGGTCAAGATGCAGTGAGGTAGCCAGGTATGGTGGCACATGCATATAATCCCAGCACTCAGGAGGATGAAGCAGGAAGAGTACTGCAATTTCAAGGCCAGCCTGGACTACAAAGTGAGTTCAAAGCCAGCTTGAACAGCATAGTGAAACCCTGTCTCAAAAGACAGACAGACAGACAGACAGACAGACAGACAGACAGAAGCAATGAAGTGAGAGATAAAGTCATACTGTCTTAGGATGGTTCCTAAGTTGACTTGTGACCTTAAAGAAAGGGAGAGGGGAGACTGAGAGTGGTGGGGCACTCCTGTAATCCCAGCTTCTGGAAGGCTGTAAACAGGCAGATCACTATGAGTCTGATCTAGTAGTGAGACCCTGAACACCCTGTAGACCCTTCCCTAAGAATACAAAAAGAAGAAGAAGAAGAAGAAGAAGAAGAAGAAGAAGAAGAAGAAGAAGAAGAAGAAGAAGAAGAAGAAGAAGAAGAAAACAAAAAAAAGAAAGGGAGAAGTCACATAGATATAGAGGAAGGACAGATGCACACAGAAAGACATAGGTTGATTCAGCTATGAGCCAAGGCACATCAGGGTTGCTGGAAGTCCCCAGAAGCCAGGAAGGGAAGGAAGGATTGTCCGTCCCCTGGTCTAGAGAGAGTGCAGCCCTTCTGACACCCTGACTTCTAACCAAGGTCAGATTCTGGAAAAACAGATTTATGTGATTTTTAAGACACCCACTTTGCTACAGTAGCCTAGAAAACTAATACAGGGTCACTATTATTGTAAGAGAAGCCATTTCTTTAAGTATCAAATGTTAAACATTTTCCTCAAGCATAGAGATTGGATGACTTTACCATAAATTGAAAAGCATGGGCTATAAAATCAATATTGAAACACCAATAGTTTGTTCATACACCAATAATAGCAGGCCGGGGGAGATAGCTCAGTAGAATAAGCGCTTGCCTAGTAAGCGCAGGGTCCTGAGTTCAATCCCCGGTACTGCAAAAAAAAAAGGGGGGGGGATTAACATACACCAATAATGAACCTGATGAGAAAGAAATTAGGATAATAATTTCATTCATAGTTCATATTCATGGATTCAGAGAATTAGACCACACTATTAAAAGTGATCTACCGATTTACCACAAATTTCCATCAAAATTCCAATGACATTCTTCACAGAACTAGAAAAAACAATACTAAAATTCATACAGAAACACAAAAGATGCAGCATGGCCAAAGCAATACTGAGCAAAAAGAGCAAGGTGGAAGACAGCACAATGCCTATTTTCAAATTATTCTACAAAAACGATAGTAACAAAACAGCATGGTATCAAAAAAAAAAAAAAAAAAAAAGGATCAAGCAAGCAGAATAGAGAACACAGAAGCAAACAGGCATGACTACAGCCATCTAACTCTTGACAAAGGAGCCAAGAATATACATTGCAGAAAAACAGCCTCATTACCAAATGGTGCAGGTAAAATTGGATATCTATATGTAGAGAGTGAAACTAGAGCCCTCTCTTGTCCTGCACAAAAGTCAATTAAAAATGGATCAAAACCAGGTAGAAGACCTGAAACTGAAATTGCTAGCAGAAAACAGAAGAGTCATGTAAAGTTATAGGCACAGGGCAAAAAATTTCTGAATAGGACTCCAATAGCACAGGAAATAATATCAAGATTCAACAAATGGAACTACATCAAATTAAAAAGTTTTTTTTTTACTGCAAAATTCATCAGAGTGAGAAGGCAGCTATAGAAAGGGAGGAAGTCTAGCCAGCTGCTCTTCTGACAGAGGGTTAAAATCTAGAAAATACAGGGAATTCAAAATCCTTAAACACACACACACACACACACACACACACACACACACACAGACTACGAAATAGCCCAATGAAAATGTGGGGCAAATGAATTGAAAAGACACTTTCCAAAATAAGTAGTAAAAATAGCCAACAACTACATGAAAAAAAAATGTCCAACAACTACAGTGATTTGGAAAATGCAGCGCAAACCAAGACTGCACCGTGATCCCATCCCACGTTGGTCAGAATGGCAATCTCCCCAAGAACACAAAAGCAAACCTAGGCAAGAATGGGAAGAAAAATAAACCTTGTACACTGCTAGTGGAAACGTAAATTAGTACAGTCATTATGGAAATCAGCCTGGAGGTTCCTCAAAAAACTAAAAATATCACAACCATATGACCCAGGCATACCACTCCTCAGTACAAAGCAAAAAGGAAGAAAGACAGAATGCCTTGGTGTACCTGCACACACACAGTTCTCAACAGTCAACACACGGGACCAGCTCACATGGGCACTCAGGGATGAATGGATACAAAGCATGGGTACACATATACAATGTGTATTACCCAGCTGCAAAGAAGAGTTAAATCATGTCATTTTCAGAAAAAATAGGTGGAGCTAGAGATCATTGTGCTAGGGGAGAACACTGTGAGTGAGGTCAGAAAGATGAGTATCATGTTTCCCTAGTACAGTGGTACCCTGGGACCCATCATTTACTGGCTGTAGGAGCCAGGACAAGTAGAACCACCAAAGTTCTAGCAGGCACATCAAGTACCAAACAAACAATGTGTACCAGGACAAAATTCTCCCATCAAAACACGCTGAGCATCAAATTCAGCATGTTGATACAGTCGAGTAGATCAAGGTAGACCATGCTTAGAATTTAATGACAGTGACATGAAAGTAGAAGGGAAATTATTATCAGACAAGGGGAAGGGAATAAAGGATAGGGGGTGTTATGGTTTGTGTCTAGTTATTCCCCCAAAGCCTCATGCAGTCATGGAACAGCTTCTAGAGTTTGTGATTAATTCCTGATCCAATGCTGGGATTATGGATATGAGTCTACACTTACCCTTGGGCAGATAATCTGCATTCAGATGTAAAGAAGGAAGACAGACTTGCTAGCTGCCGCAGCTGCTGCTATTCTCTTTGTTCTTTGCTGTTTTCTGCTGCCTGAATGGTTGCCCTGTGCCGTGTGCCACTATGCCTTGGACTCAGCTGATTATGGACTGAAACCTCCACAAACTGTGAGCTATATAAACCTTTCCTTCCTTCATTTTGGGTGTCAAAGACAAGATGTGTAAAGGAGGGGAATGAAAGTTGGATTCAAGGTGGGAGGCTGAGACAGGAGAATCCCAAGTTCAAACCCAACTGGGCAATTTAGCGAGGATCTAGCTCAATTTTTTGTAATAATTTTATTGAGAAACACCTATCTCAATACTGAAGCACAACATCTTGTAAAATTAATGCACACTAATAAAAACACATTTTTTAATGAGAAACTACTTTGGCAGTAACAATACACAATGTACTAACCATTGTTACTCTCCTAAAATCTTGTTTTGAGATTTTGTACCATTGTTTTTATTTTTTTTTCTTTAAAATAAAATAACTGATGTCAAAAAAAAAAGAAAGAAAATGCAAAAAAACAAAAAAAACAAAAAAAAAACACATTTTTATAAACTGAAGAGCAGAAAAACTGGATATGTCCTGGCTCTGTGACCTTGAGCAAGTGCTTTAATCTCCAGGTTTTTCTATTTCCTCACCTATGTAAACAGGGATAATAACCCTTGCCCCTCCTACCTGAGGCTTTTATAAGACTAAAATGAAGCCGCACACATAAAAGTAGTGTGTGATCTAACATTTTACAGCTGTTTATTTTCAATAATTTTTACAAACCATAAACTCCCTGGAAGTCAGGGACCTGGCTTAGAATCCCAACTCCAGCAGTTATTATCCTGCCATCCCCAGCAGGACTCTGAGCTTCAGGTGCTTGCTAAAAGTTGGCTGTAGAACACCCTATCTCCTGAGTGCTGGGTGAGGAGCGACACATCATGTGTGGAAGTTTTGTTTATTCTGCGGCCTCTCTCATCTCCACCTTGACTTGCATAGATGGTGTCTGAAATATCTGCTTCATCGCATGGTATGACAACCCCAAATATGTTGAAGTCATTCTAGCTACTGTAGGGAAGAACACACACAAAGGAACTCTGCAGAAAGTGGAGAAAAGAGCCATGGTAGTGCACGGCTGTCATACCAGAAACCTAAGAGGCTGAGGCAGGAGAAGGAGAAATTCAAGCCCAACTGGGCAACTCAGCAAGAGCCTGTTTTAAAAAAGGGCTGAGGGGTGTGTGTGTGTGTGTG